CCCCCCCCCCAATGCCACCCCCAGCACCGTTTCCCCCTGGAAAAGCCCCCCTGGAGGTTTGTGGGTCCCTCACCCCCTTCCCAACCTGTTCCCACCGCGGGGGGAGGCTCAGCCTGAATTGTCGGCATCGCTCCTGTTTTATCCAAAAAACCGGGATTTAAACGCGGCCCTCCAGATTCGGCTGGGAAGATCCCAAAGTCCGGTTATTTTTTATCCCGTGGCAGGAAAGGTGAAAAACTCCCCCAGACTTCTCCAGGATCCTCATCCCGGCTCTTTCCCCGCTTCCAAACCCCCCCAAAAACCGGGATTGTCTCCATCAGCTCCCGCGGAGGAGCCGCTCCTGCCCCTCCAGGACACAACAGCGGAGTTTTGGGGACAACCCGCGCTGCCCGGGGTGGCTTTTCAACGTGACAGCCGAGCGGGGATGGAAAAACTTCCCTTGTACCGCTCACCCCGCATCAGCATCTTTGGGATCATCCCCGCAGCCCCACCTGCTCCTCAGGATTTCTCTCTGCTCGGGAGCAACGCCCGCATCATTTCTCCCATCCGAAACAAAACAAAAGTAAAAAACCCAAACAAACAAAAAAAAGTAGTTTTCATGAATGAAAATCAATTTTTTTGCCCCGTTAAAATGTAATTTTTCTAGTAAGAAAGGAAAAAAAAAAAGAAGACAAAAAAAACAAACAAATTTTTTTCCCACTCCCATTTTAAAATATTAATCCAAAAGCCAAGCGCCTCCTCTGAGGGTCTGGATAAACCAGGGAGGGAACAGGAGCTCAGCACTGCCCAGCTGGTGGGAAATGCCACAGGGATGGGATTATTGAGCAGATGGTTCCTTTAATCCCACAGGAGCTCCTGTGACCTGCCTGCCCCGCTTCCAGCACAGCCAAGGGAATTCCGGTTGTAATCCCAGGCTGGGCACAACCCCTGGAATGTTCCTCTGTCCCCTCAGCCCAGGCTGGCACTCGGTGATGGGCAGGCAACTTCCAAATTGCCCAAATTCCTCCTGGATGCACCAAAACAGCACCAATCCCCCCAAAAATTCACGGAGGCTCCAGAATTCCCATCCCTGGGACAGGGTCTGGAGCAATCCTAAGGGAAAGCGGGAATGGGATGAGTTTTGGGGTCCTTCCCAACCAAAATCTGGGGATTTTGGGATCCCCCATCCTGTGGCTCGGGGCCATCCGGGGCAGAGCCCCCTCCCCACGGTTCCTGAGGGCTGAGATTCCTTCACCAGACGGGGAGAGCCAGGATATCCCTGCCAATCCCTTCCCAGGCCATGGATAAAAAAATCTTTCCAAATTTTCCCGTTTCAGCGCTGTGTTTGGGCAGCAGCCCCCCCTCCCGTCACTCCTGGGAATCCTTTGGCTGCTGCTCATCCATCCCAGCTTTCCCCTGGGATATCTCAGCCTTGCGAGGCTCCTCCTGCCACGGGGGGAGGCCAAAACCCCCCAAAAATCAGCCCCACCCCAAGGACACCCCAGAGCTGCTCCTGGAGCGGGCTCATCCCAAAACCAGGCGGGCGCAGGGAGAGCCGGGTCCCGCTGGAGCGTTCCCACCTCCCTGGGGAGGAGGCACCAAACGCCCCTTCACGAGCCAAAACCACTCCCAAACTCCGCAATTTCACTTCCAAACTCCCTCGGACAATTCCAGTGAAAAGCGCTGGAAATCTCCGGCAGCTCCCGAAGGAGACGCGCCGGGAGCTGCCGGCAGCAGACGAAGGCGAGAGCCCTGAAGATTATAAAAAAAAATAATTAAAAAAATAAAAAAAAAATGAAATCCAAATAGAAAAATAAAACCGAAGGCAGCAAGTGAGTCACGGAGCGCATTACTCATCTCCCGGCAGAGTCAGCCCCAGCTCCATGTGACAGCCCGGCCCCGGAGCCGCGATGGGATTTGCTAAATAAAACCCCAATCCTCAGCCTCGGGCAGGACGTGGCCCTGGCAAATCCCGGCATTAGGAGCGGCCAGGGGTTGTTCTCACCGCCCCACGCCCCTTTGGATGGGCTGGAATTAAACCTGGATGGCTCCCGAAGGAATGAGCTGGGAGAGGCCGGAGCTGCGGCCCCAGCGTGGATCCCCTGGCCTGGGCACAGCAGGATGGGATTTCAGCCTTTGGCATCCTTCCCTATAAAACTGGGATTAGAGGAGACAAGGGCAGGGACAGCTCCCACTGTCCCAGGCTGCTCCAAACCCATCCAGCCTGGCCTTGGGCACTGCCAGGGATCCAGGGACAGCCCCAGCTGCTCTGGGAATTCCATCCCAGGGCCTGCCCACCCTGCCAGGGAACAATTCCTGCCCAAGATCCCATCCAGCCCTGCCCTCTGGCACTGGCAGCCATTCCCTGTGTCCTGTCCCTCCATCCCTTGTCCCCAGTCCCTCTCCAGCTCTCCTGGAGCCCCTTCAGGCCCTGCAAGGGGCTCTGAGCTCTCCCTGGGGCTGATTTACAGGATTCCCTCCTCCAAGGGTGAAGGCAGGGAAGGAGGATGGGCTCAGGGAGAACCCCCAGGAGCAGCTCCCCCATCCCTCCACGAGCTCAGGAGGGCACAGAGGGGACCAATCCTGAAAATCCAGGTCCTGAAAATCCCGTGGCAGCACCTGGGAGGCTGAACCCGGACAGGCTGAACCCCAAACGCTCCTGGGGCAGCCCCACCTTGGGCTTTGGGCAGCCAAAACATTCCGTGAGAATCCAGAGTATCCCAGCTCATCCCAGGGCTGGAGAATCCACGGGAACAACTCCTGCCAGCCCCCAGCTTCATCCCAGGGCTGGAGCGGCTCCTGGATCAGGGAATGCAGCTGCCCCCAGCTCCACACGGAGCCTTTTCCTTCTGCTCCGTGAATCTCGGCATTCCCGGGCACAAAGAGCCGCTCCCACCGCGGGCAGCTGCTCCCGGGAGGACACCGGGGATGCGGGAATGAGCCCCCAGCCCGGGACACGGCAGCGAGAGGAGGAGGAGGAGGAGGAGAGCTGGAGAACAGCGCTGGGAACTTTCTCATGGAGCCGCTTAAGGCACCAGGGGTGCAGGGAGCAGCCAAATTCCAGCAGGGAAGAGGCTCCCCAGGGAAGCGATGGGATCACAGCTGCACCCCTGACGTTCCCCACCGGGGCTCCGAAAATGCTCTGCACCCCAAACCCCCGCCCAGAGGACCCCAGAGGATCCCAATCCAGCCCTGGAATGAGCAATCCCCCGGGGACAGCCACTGAGGGGCACGAATTCCCTAAAACCGAGGATTTGGGGACAGAGCAGCGGGACAGCGGGAGCAGCACCCCCCATGTGCCAGCAGCTCCTCTCGGGGCCACCAAACCTCGCATTTGGGCCAGCAGGGTCCGGAGGCGCTGGGGACACAAGGGGGACACAAGGGGGGCACCGGGAGGGATTTACAGCTCCAGGACCGGCGCTGTCTCATTCCAGGCTTCCCCTGCACCCGGCGCACAGAGGGTCCCGCACCCCCCCAGGAGCCGATTCCTGCTCAGAGCCCCACAAATCCAGGATCCAGCTCCCAAAACCCCATCCCTGCACACCCCACAACGGCTCCCACCTCCTCCTGCTCCCCTCCCCTCTCCTGGCCCAGCCCTGCGCCCTCCCCGCTGATAACCGGGGGCTGATCGGGGCAATCAGCACCTCCCCCGATGGGGACGAGGCGCAGCTGCCCCAGAACATCCAGAATTCATTCATCTTTATTTCTCAGGGAGGGAAAAAACCCGGAATTCAGGAGCACTGGCAAAGTCCTCATTTCACACCACCTGCCTCACCCCAAATATTATCGAAATATTATCGAGCCCATTCCATCAGCCCGGAATGTGGTTTGGGGTGGGAATGGATCCACCCCCTGCGCCCCCCTGCCTGCCTGGGGGTCTGTGCCGCACGAGTTGTTCCACCAATGCCCAGACCATTCCCATGGGTTTGGATTCCTGGTGCTGGGAGGGAGCTTTTGCCTCCTTTAGGTAAAATTTGGCAGCTGTGGAAAGAAATCCAGAGAAGCAAATTCTGCCCTGACATATTCCAGAGCTCCAGGAATGCCGCTGGAGCCTCTCATTAAAATTTAAGGTGTCTTTAGGTCCTGATCAGCTTTGGGCCTGCTAATAAAGGATGTTTAATTATTCTTAAAATTAACTTGTTCTTAAAATTAAATTATTAACTTATTTAATTATTCTTAAAATTAACAAAAAGGAGACAGGATGGGGAGGGGGCAGAGCTGGGGGGCACCAAAGGCAGAGGAAAAACCAGTGCAGCCCTGGAGCCTCTGGCACAACTGTGCAGGGATCCAGCTGTGCAGGGATCCAGTTCTGCCGGGATCCAGCTGTGCCCGGCTCCAGCTGTGCCCCAGCGCTGTGCGAGCCCTGCAGGACCCGTCCCGGCTCCGCGTGTCCCCGCCGTGTCCCCAGCTCGGACATTCCCCGTTCCCGGGGCCCTTCCCGGCTGCGCAGCGCCGGGAGCTCGGCAGATGGAGCTGTGCAGCTGTGCAGGGACGGGACGGGGCCCGCCAGATGTGCAGGGGCCGGCCAGATGTGCTCACCTGGTCCTGCCGTGCCCCCGGGAGCTCTGGTGTCCCCAACAGAGCAGGGACAGAGGAGGGGACAGAAATCCCCTCACAGAGAGAAACTGGGCAGGGCAGGGGACAGCGAGACCTTGGGAATTCTCGGCCTCCTCGTGTCACCCCAAAAGGGACATTTGGGAGAGCCAAAACACCCAAACCTATCTGAAACCCCATCAGCTGGGCCCCAACCCGCCCTGTCCCTCCCGGCCACCCCCGTGTCCCTCCCGTGTCCCCCGGGAGTCCCATCTCCCTTCCCATGGAAGCTCCGGTAAAATCCGCGCTCTGTGCCCGGCCCCCGGCTCCTCCCCGGGTTTGACCGCAGAACTGTCGGAGCTTCACATTTTCTCTTCTCTTCTCTCCTCCGCGGGAATCCCGGGTGAACTCCCCCAAACCCCCCCGGCTGGAGGAGAGATCCCGGCACGGAGCAGATCCTGGTGGCAGGATCAGAACCCGGGAATGTCCGTCCCAAACAGAGGGACACGGGGCCCAGGAGCAGGGACAGAAAAATACGGAATCACTGAGGTTGGAAAAGCCCCCTGTGGCCACCACTGGCCCACGTCCCCAAGTGCCACATCCGCACGGATTTGAAATCCCTCCAGGGATGGGGACTCACCCCTGCCCTGCTCCAATGCTTGGCCACCCTTTCCATGAAGAAATTTCCCCAAATATCCATCCTAAACCTCCCCTGGTGCCACTTGAGGCCATTTTGTCCTGTCCCTTGTTCTGGCTCTGTCACACAGCACTGGGCAGGTGGGAACAGCCACGCTCATCCCTAAATCCCACGGAACAGGGTGGGAAAAGGGCATGGAAATCCAGCTGCAGGCTGGGCTGGGAAAGAGCAGCAGGGCTGGTTTATTATTTGATTTAATAATCACAGCTCCTGTGAGCAGCGGTGACCTCGGGGGCAGAAGTTTCCTGGCAGGAGCTCTGGGGGATCCCTGTCCCCACGCCCCGGGAAGGGCTGGGCCTGCTCCCACTGCTCATCCCTGGGATTGATGCCCAGAGGTGGCTTTAGGGCTGCTGGAAATTCCCCTGAAATCCCAGCTCCAGTGGGAAACAGTGTCCTTGGGGACAAGGCCAGCTGTCACTCGGGGGCTCTGGGTGACATTAACCCGGGGTTAATGCTGGCAGCAGGGAGGGAACAGATCCCTGAGCATCCCTGAACATCCCTGAACATCCCTGAGCATCCCTGGGCATCCCTGTGAATCCCTGTGAATCCCTGGGCACCCCTGGGCACCCCTAGACATCCCTGGGTATTCCTGGGCATCCCTGGGCATCCCTGGAAGTGCAGTGTCCCAGGAAGGTGCCCATCCCGGGCTGGGGTCCCTCACCCCGCACACGGCAGGAGCCTCTGGCAGTCCCTGGAAGTGACCTGGGGACCAGCAGGGAGGGGCAGCAGCGCCCACCCAGCTCCGCTCGGGAGCGAGGAGGGAGCTCCGCATCCCTGCTCCCTCTGCCGCCTCCCGATGCCGAAGGAATCCGTGTGGATCCCACGGCAGCTCTGGATGTGAGGATCCGAAGCAGAGCGGCGGGGAATCCTCACGCCCTGAGGAACGGGGGACACTGAGCCAGCGAAGCTCCCAGCACCTGAACTGGGATTTCCGCCCTAAAAAGAGGGAGAACAGGAGGGTCCCGCTTGGTTTTGCGGTGCAGCGGCCACTGGAGCATTTTCCCAGTTTCTGCAGCGGGGAAGGAAAAGGGAAAGGCGGCTCCTCCCAGCTCCAGAGCTGCCCGCGATCCCGAGGAAGCTGCCTGGCAGAATCGGGTCATGGAAGGGACAGGAATGAAGAGAGGGAGGGGACAAGGACAGGGCAGCCCCACCCCCGGCACCCACATGGCCCCCACCTGCCCCTGAGCCACCAGCGCTGCTGCTCTCTCCTGGTTTGGTGCTTCCCCTCCCAGAAGTGCCGATGCTTTTCCACCCCAATAACCCCATTCCCACCCCAATAACCCCTTTCCCACCCCAATAACCCCATTCCCACCCCAATAACCCCATTCCCACCCCAATAACCCCATTCCCACCCCAATAACCCCTTTCCCATCCCTGCACATCCCCAGGAGCCGCAGGCAGGACGTGGCCGCCGCAGCCCAGGGACGTGGAAAGGATGAGTTGGGGTGAAGAGGGGATGGTTTAAATTAAAAGGAGAGATTTAGACGGGATCTTGGGCAGGAATTGTTCCCTGGCAGGGTGGGCAGGCCCTGGGATAGAATTCCCAGAGCAGCTGGGGCTGTCCCTGGATCCCTGGCAGTGCCCAAGGCCAGGCTGGATGGGTTTGGAGCAGCCTGGGACAGTGGGAGCTGTCCCTGCCATGGCTGGGGTGGCACTGGAGGGACTTGGAGGTCCTTCCAACCCAAATCAGTCTGGGATTCTGTTAATCCACTGGGAAAACCAAATCACTACTGGCCCTCCAAGGAGTTTTTCCCAAGGAATTTTCACCAAGGAGTTTCAGAGGTTCAAACCCCGGTTGGGTGCAGGGAAGATCCCCCAGGATCCGATGGCTGAAGCCCCTTCTGCTGGGACAGGGGGGATGTGACAGGAGGTGGCCTGGCAGCGGCTGCTCCATGGAGTGCCGGGTGGGAATGTGGGCGTGGGATGAGATCCAGGGAAAGCCTGTGGAGCCCCCCAGGGGACCCTGCCCCTGTCTCCCGCTCTCCTGCAGCTCCTGGCCTGGCACAGGATGTTTTTTACTGGAAAGTCGCTTGCTTTGGGTCAGGCCGGGACATGAAAGCTCCCGGGGGCCGGGCTGTGCGCGGCCATCGCTTCCTGTCTGCGCCCGCCTTCCTGTCGCCTGCTGCCACCGGCCCCGCAGGAAGGACCAGGGCCCTGGTGTCCCACAGAGGTCCCCTGGTGTCCCACAGAGGTCCCTGGTGTCCCACAGAGGTCCCTGGTGTCCCACAGAGGTCCCCAGGTGTCCCATGGATGGTGGCCGTGCCACCAGGAACGCTCCTCTGCCCGTGCCTGAGGAATGGCTCCCACTGGGAATGCAGGGACTGGGGTTGGCCTTGGAGGTTCTGGGTTTAGGGGATGGGAGGCTCTGGGTTCAGGGCATGGGAGGTTCTGGGTTTTGGCTGTGGGAGGGCTCAGGGATTGAGCCATGGGAGGTTCTGGGTTTCAGCCATTGCAGGGTTTGGGGTTTTGGCTCCAGGAGGGTTCTGGGTCTCGGCTGTGGGAGATTCTGGGGTGTTCTGGGTTTTGGCCAAAGGAAGGTTCTGGATTTCAGCTGTGAGAGGTCTTGGATTTTGGTTGTGGGAGGTTTTGGATTTTGGCCAAAGGAATGGTCTGGATTTCAGCCATCAGAGGGGTTTGTGTTTTGGCCACAGGAGGGTTCTGGGTTTTGGGGCTGGGCCATGGGTGGTTCTGGGACTGAGCACAGGAGGCTTCTGGGTTCGAAAGGTCCCGTTTTCTGTGCCCCGAGCAGTGGTGACACAGCCCCCGCTGCCCTGCTGACAGAAACCTCCCACAGGCTGGGTCATGCTTTCATTTATTCACTTCATATAAAAATCTCTTAAGAATGCGCCTGAACACAATATAGAATACTATAACATACATAGTGTGAAACTTTGGGGAACAATAAAATAACCACCTGGAACAATGCAGTGTTCAACAGACAAACAAACCCATTGATCATGCACAACTGTGCTATTGTCATGAACTAATTAGTCACGAGTTGGACCAAAAAGCTTGAAACATATTTTACAAACTGAGATTGACACCGCTCACGATGCCGGACAAGCTTTGTCAGAGGAAGTTTCACAGCACAATTATTACATCAGTTCACATTTTTTTTTTTTTATATATATTATTTTTTTTTATTTTTTTCCATCATAGAAATTCACATTGGGTTGTTCAGAAATTGGAACGTTGTGACATTGAAAAGCCTGTCTGGGCGTGGGGAGTTCTTTTTTTCCCCCCTCAATCTCTGCATTCCTGGCAAATTCCCAAATTTGCTGCCCTGGGATGCGGTGTCCCCTCCCCACGGGCGGCTGCCACCCGAATGCCCTTGCTGGGTTGTGTCTGTCTCTTCAGCTATGTTCAGGTTCTTGGACTTTATGCAATACAAAAAGGTTACGAGAGAAAAAAAAGGCAACTCTTATTCCGAGTTTTCTACGCCATTAACATCGCCGCCGACAGGCGATGCTAATTCATATAAATTAATAACTTACAAAACATTACAGTATGTACAGTAGGTAATAAATACACTGTTATAAACAGTAATGGAGGTGGTAGAGCTCGAGGCAGTGCAGGAGGAGGAGGAGGATGGTGGACCTAAACCTAGGGAACGTGGACGAGAGGCCGGAGAAACACAAATATCCGAGCGTGCAAATTCCAGGGAGCTGCCGAGGGGGAAGGCGTGCCACACGCTGCCTTGCCACGCTTACTCAGGGATGGACTGAGCTGTGCCAGGGGAAGAAAAACCTGCCCTCTGTCCTGCTCACCACAAACCCAAACCCCGGGGAGGAAAAGAAATCCCGCTGTTCCCAGCGAGGGAACGGCGCCCGATGGCACCGAGCGGCTCCCGACGGCTCACCGGGGGGATTAGGAACACATCGAAGGTGCAGTAATGCAAAGCAGAGGGTTTCCCCTTCTGTTTAGTCTGTCAAAGTGATTAACTGCAATAAAGTGACAGGTATTGCCCATGAAAAAAAAGGAAGACTGCTTCTGGTAACAGGAAGAATCCAAAAAGTAGCCGTCAATTCCGAAACACCTTGTGTCGCTTTTGAACTACCAAGCTCCGTGTGTTGGATTAAGAGACTCTTGAAAAGACATGAAAGTGTTTACAAAGAAGGCACACAGGTCTGCAGACAGGTGGTCGGGTGGACAGGTTGGATATGAGTTATTGATCAGTAGTTTCTATCAGTCTAACTGCTATAAACTCCAAAACTAACGGTATAAAATCTCTCAGTTGTGTGTCAGCGCCGCCTCGGGCCCGACCCAAGCCAGCTCCAGGACCAGGCGGTGCTCTCGGCTGACGAGGCTCAAACCACAACGCAAATCACCCGTGCATTTCCTGAGCAATCGTTCCCTACCCCATCTGGAACCCTGACTCCAATCTCAAGCAGCTGGAGGATCTGTCCCCCCGTGGCAGAGGCCTCGGCCCCGGCTGCCGAGGCGGTCGGGGGCCGCTCGCAAGCTCCGCAAGTGTTTAAAAGCCACTCCCGCGGGGCCGGGCCATTATGTGTCCACAGGAGACGTGTCTTCTGTCACAATCTCGATGGTGGCCTCCCTCTGGGGCTCCTCCTGCCCCGGCTGGGCCACGCAGAGCGTCTCTGTATTGCTGAAGTAGCCCAGGCTCTCGCCGTCCTTCTCGGGCCCGTCCGAATCCTCCTCCTCCAGCGTCAGTTCAAACTGGAACTTCTCCAGGCCCTGGCAGTCCTGGCCCCGCTCCTCCAAAGGAGGGGATGGGCTCTGAGGTATCATGCTCTGGTACCAGTTCCTGTTGTCCTCCAGGGTGTCCAGGATGTCCTGGGCATCGGGCTGCACCAGGTCAGCCCACGTCTCCCAGAGCGGGTGGACGATGTAGTCAATGAATCCCACCTGGAAAACAAAGGGTTGGACACGCTCAGGGCAAGGGAATAGCCAGGAAAAGGTGGATGCAGGAAAAGTTTGTATTATTTTCATTTTACAAGCAAAATACCAGCAGCAAGTCCCCAGAGCAGCAGAGCCTAATGCAGACACGATTACCTGACACCCAAAGCTGTCCCCACACTCAGGGCTGGCTTGGGCTGGTCTCTTCTCCAAAACCAAACCTTTCAAGAGGTTTCACCAAAAACAGGAGCAGGAAATTCAGGGGACAGAGCCCTGGGCTGATCCCCCAGTGAGGGCAGCAGGAAAGGGGGGGATTCTGCCCCTCTGCCCTGCTCAGGTGAGGCTGCACCTGCAGAGCTGCCCCAGCCCCACATCAGGAGGACGCAGAGCCCAGAGGAACCCCGGAGCTGCTCCAGGGCTGGAGCCCCTCTGGAGCCAGGCTGGGAGAGCTGGGGGTGCTCACCTGGAGAGGAGAAGCTCCAGGGAGAGCTCAGAGCCCCTTGCAGGGCCTGAAGGGGCTCCAGGAGAGCTGGAGAGGGACTGGGGACAAGGGATGGAGGGACAGGACACAGGGAATGGCTCCCAGTGCCAGAGGGCAGGGCTGGATGGGATCTTGGGCAGGAATTGTTCCCTGGCAGGGTGGGCAGGCCCTGGGATAGAATTCCCAGAGCAGCTGGGGCTGTCCCTGGATCCCTGGCAGTGCCCAAGGCCAGGCTGGATGGGTTTGGAGCAGCCTGGGACAGTGGGAGCTGTCCCTGCCATGGAGCTGGAACTGCCAGCACTGGGAGTCTGCTCCTCTCAGACAGAATTCCCAGGTTCCCGGGGACAAGGCTGGTGCATTCATGGCCCTATCCCAGGCTCCCACAGGAGTGACAGCTGGGAATACCCCAGTGCTGCCAAGGGGAGCAGCCTCTATGGGCTGAAGTTCAACCTCTGGGTGTATTTTCCCATGGGGTGCAGTTTGTGCCTTTTCCAAACCGTTCCACGATTCCCCTTTCCCTCCTGCCCTCTGCCAGAGCCGCCCCAGAGGAGATTTCCTTGGGAAGAGCACAGCCAGCGGGTCTGCTCATCCCGGGAGCGCTGCCTGGCCCCCGTGGAGCGACGTTCCAGCGGTGGAAAGAGTGAGGGACGCGCGGCTCCGTCAGCCCTTCCGCTGAGCTCAACGCTCCCGCCACGCTCTGACTCAGGGAGGAACCGCGTCCAGGATGGAGCCGGCGGAACGGCCATAAAGGGGATTGGAATTCTTCCGTCTTGGCACGGCCCGGTCCCGCTCCACGGCTTTGTGTGGAGCAGGGAAATGGCTCTCCCAGGAGCCGGGCTCAACGTGCAGATGTTTGCTTTGGAAATCGCTCCCGGCTCCCTCAGACACGACAGGATGTCCAAAGGACCGGGAGCATCCAATTGGAACGGGCTGGGCAGGCAGCTCCGGCAAAAAGGTGATGAGGAGTTCCCGTTGCACGGGGGAAAAGTGGAGGGGGAAAGAGTTTGGGATGGTTGGAACCCCAAAATATTGATTTTTGGTAAAAATCAGCGCTCGTTAATCATCATTTCTTTAAAATCATTGTTTCAGGTCGTTGTTCCTTTAGAAACATCCCAAACCGTGGAATAATCGGCCATGGAATTACCATGGAATAATGGCTCAGCACTGGTCCTGAAATAGCGGGAGGGCATCTCAAGCTTTGAAATGTAATTTGTATTTTATTTCCCGATCCACTCCTCGTTTCCCTCCAGCACGGACACACCGCTTCCCTCTCTCCTTTGCCATTCCATGACGGGCGTTTTGAGCAATTCCCGTCTTTCCTGCATGGCAAAAAGGTTTGGAAGCCTCTGGGAAGCGCAGATGTGGAGCAAAGGATGAACTGGAGCTCACATGTGGAGCACGTGGACGAGCCTGGCTGAAGGGTTCGTTTCTTGTTAGGTTAAGAAATCCGACAGATTTTTCCAACAAAATCACCACGCGGTTGAGTGAATAATTTTGAAAGCACTTGGCTGAGCCCAAGAGGACATTTGGAAATAATTATCATCAATTTTGTTACTTATTCAAGCTGAAAAACCTCAATGATGACTTGCTGGAGTCATTCAAAAACAACAACCAAGACAGCATTATATAAAGGCTGGAATCTGTTTGGACAAACAGAAATTCCTGGTTTCATTCCAGATTATCCAGGCGAAATTTTATGGCCTGTGCTATGCAGGTCAGAACAAAATCTGACCTTGAAACCATTTTATGAATCAGAGCTAGGGATGAGCTGGTTCATCACCAAAAAAATTGGTAAATCCAGCTCCTTTTAAGTTTTGCAGGGACATAAATGAATATTTCTGGGATTCACCCTGCACAGAGCAGCTCCAAAAGCTTCTAATCCAACTGGACACGCTCACTGCAGAATTGTCCTGGATAAGGAGTGACAGCCAGAGTTTTGCAGGATCCTGAGGTGGATCCCAGCTGGGAGAAGCTCCTGATCCTGCAGATCCTGGCACTATTGGAGGGGTGAGGAGCAGAACTGCCCGTTCCAGCCCGGGGAACCAAAGGACCCAACTCCCTCTGGAAACTGGGACACCGGCAGGGAATGAGGAGATGCCCAGGGGGATGGAGAGGAGCTGGAAGAGCCTCTCCAGCCTGTGAGAGCCCCAGGCAGAGCTGGATGTCAGGGTGGATCAGAACCCACGCTCTGAACCGCTGGCTCCTCTCCTAATTGTGCTGCAAAGGCAGCTGAATTTCGTCTCTGCTTTGAAATGCCAAGCTCAGGCAGGAAAAGCTGCAGCTCAGGGCCAATTACCTGGGATTTTTCCACGGAGGCCGTGTGTTTGTCACACATTGGGCTGATTTCCATGCCTCTCTCCCGCTCTTTGTCTCCCTGCTGGAAGAACTCCTCCATGATCCTGTCTGTCCACTGCCGGTACAGCTCCAGAGACTTTGTGGGATTACTCAGGTCTGCACAATGTACCATATTCCGGAGAACCTGCAATTACATCCAGCAGGAAACTCATAAAATCAGCTGGAAAGAGAAGAGGGTTTTGAGCTGGAGCTGCAGAACGTTGCACCAAAAGATTCTCTGGTTATGAAACAGACCATAAAAATATCAGAAACATTGCACTGTAGCACGCTAACGACCTGGAGCTGCTGGAGAGATTCCAGAGGAGCCCCTGGAGCTGCTCCAGGGCTGGAGCCCCTCTGGAGCCAGGCTGGGAGAGCTGGGGGTGCTCACCTGGAGAGGAGAAGCTCCAGGGAGAGCTCAGAGCCCCTTGCAGGGCCTGAAGGGGCTCCAGGAGAGCTGGAGAGGGACTGGGGACAAGGGATGGAGGGACAGGACACAGGGAATGGCTCCCAGTGCCAGAGGGCAGGGCTGGATGGGATCTTGGGCAGGAATTGTTCCCTGGCAGGGTGGGCAGGCCCTGGGATAGAATTCCCAGAGCAGCTGGGGCTGTCCCTGGATCCCTGGCAGTGCCCAAGGCCAGGCTGGATGGGTTTGGAGCAGCCTGGGACAGTGGGAGGTGTTGGGGTGGCACGGAATGAATTTAAAGTCCCTCCCAACCCAAACCAGCCTGGAATTCCGTGATTCCCTCTCCATGGATGAGCTCAGCTGCCCCAGCCCTCACACAGCTCCAGCCTCACAGCTGGTGCAGCTGTGGAAGGGTCAGTGACGTCACACAGGTTTCTTTGGGAATCCAGCTGCTTCCCACCATTCAAAATCCACTTCCAGCTCTCAGGGAAAGAGGTGAAATGCTCCCACTTTATGGGGTGAGTAACATCCCGTCCACATAGGCCTGACTAAGTGGCCACAAGGATTTAGGCAGCACCAGGGTGTTTGAAATAAAAATTTAAAGAGTTTTCCCAGGAGCCTGCTCTTAAGGAGTTGGTCATCACAGTGGAGAGCAGAGCAGGATGGATCTTGTCCCGCTCACTGCACAACCCTGTTCCGGCATTTCCTGGTCACTTCTCTAAATCAGGGATTGAATTATTGAGGGAACAGACAGCACAGCAGTAATTCCAGCTCTGTGTTGCTCTGGATATGAAATTCCAAATGAAATTCTTGCAGTGTTGCAACAGGAGAAACAAATGGGAGAAAGCAGGAAGGAAATTTAGGATCCCTCAAAACCTGATCTCAGAATGTGCCACGTTTGCAGTTCCAGGTGTCAAAAAAAAACCCCAATTCTGGTCACCTAAAACCTCTGGGACCACCCTGTGCTTCTTTTCTTAGTGCAGAAGAAAGTGGCTGCTGAGAATTCAGCTTCTCTGCATGATTCAAATTTCAAAGCCGCGGTAAAAACGGGAGAGTGGCTTCTCCATCCTGAGCAGAAGAGCCCAAATCCAGGGAATTTGGCTGCCTCACCTGTATTCTGTCCGTGTAGTTGTCCAGAAGGAGAACTCCCGAACTCGTCACCTTCTTGGTTTCCACCATAGTCTTCAGATCAGCCAACAGGCTCATGTGCTTGGACATGTCAGTGGCCAACACCTTTCCAGAAGGGGAAAAAAAAGGATTTCAGGAGGGGAAACCACAAAAAATGATGTTTTTCGGTGAAGGAGGGAGGAGGGCGTGGCCATACCATGTCGATCACCATCTTCCTGAGGGTCTGGCGCTGCTTCTTGGTCAGGTTCTGGAAGATGTCACAGTGCTCCTCCTGGAGCAGCTTGAAGCCCACGGCGAGGTGGTGGTTCTCCAGCACGGATTCGTCGTTGTACATCAGGGCCAGCTCGGAATCTGGGGAGGGAACACCAAAGGTGGGACTCCAGCCTGGGAAATGTGGGATTTCCAGCAGGGTACTGAAATGTTTTAATGGGGGAAAGTTCCCTCTGCCCATCCCTGGAAGGGTTCAGGGCCAGGCTGGATGAGGTTTGGAGCAGGGATACGGGGTGATTTTAGGATTCTGGGATTCTTTTTGAGCTCCATGAGTGCCAGCCCCCAGCAACACTCAGTTGTCTCAGTTACAAACCACTGGTAACAGAATCCTGCAAAAACCCTTCCCAAAACACAACAATCCCCAGATTTTGGAATCCAGATCCATGCCTGGCCTGTGGCAGAACACAACACGAAGCCCTGTATTTGGCTTCCTGGTTGTCAACAGCAATAGGATTATTTCCCTTATCCTCATGGTAAAGTTTGCACTCGGGGCTGGCAGAATTGGTTTGTGTTAGCAAGTAGTAAATATTGACTTTACAAATTGTGCCACAACGGTTCCCTTTGTCAGGGATCGCATTTTAATTCCTGCTTGATCCCAAAACATCTCGCTCCCTTTACTGCGCTGTACTTTGAGAGGGCAGCACAGCCTGCAAGTCGTCATTTGTGGCGGGTAAAAATCATTCCCATTACTTTTGGGGTGAAACTGGGAGAGATTTGGCACAAAACTCACTTGTGTTAATCAGGAATTGATTGGAGACCCCGGGGTGATCCACGTCGTGGATGGCAGCTGCGAAAATGGCAGCGAGGATTTCCAGATCCGTGAAGACGGCCTAGGATGGAGCAACGGGAACCTGTCAGAGGGGTTTAACCTCTCAACACCTTGGGGAGCTGATTGAGGGGAACAAACTTTTCCAGCTGGTGTTTTGGGACAAGGCCCTGCCTCGGGAGAGAGGTGAAACGGAGATTCCACCAGCTGAGATTTCCGAGTGCTGCCGGCCCGGCGCGAAGGGAGCGCTCGGAGGAGCCAGCGGCGCCCACCCCACGGGCAAAGCCGAGCCCAGCAGGGCACTCACATCCAGGGCAGGGGTGGAGAGCAGCACGTGGGTGGACTGGGCCACGTCGGCAGCGTGCAGGCTGTTGTGGTAGGCCACGTCCGAGTGGTAGTGATCCTCCAGCGTCATCATGTACGTCACAAACGTGTCCGACGAGATCTTGAAGGTTTTCAGCAGATCCCGCTCCTGAGGGATCAGAGCAGGAACATGAGGGTCACGTGGGGCTGGAGCAGGCAGACAGGAATTGGATGTGAAAGCACCACTGGAAGCAGTGGGAATTCTGCATCCTGGGGTTACCCACCTGGAATATGGCGTACATGATGCAGGTGAGCGGCCGGTTGTGGGAATACCTGGCCACGTTGAAGATGTTGAGGCCCCACTTGTTCAGGTCTTCCAGTTCCTTTGGAGAGCACAAAAAGAGAAGGGTTTGGATGGTTTTCTTCTGTGTTTCCCAAAAGCTCACACATTTAATGGTTATTGTAATTATGTAAGTGCTGAACATGCGAGCTTAATGAACACAGAGTAACCGAAGGGCTGATTTTGTGTTTCTTAATTGCTCTCCTCAGCCTTCATCACCTTCTCTCTTTTCATTTTAGGCCTATTTTCATGTATTTTAATATGCTCTTAGGGCTACCATTAATTACAGCTTTTCTAATGGCCACATCATTTCAGGATATTAATTCCAAGGGGGAACAACCCATTCCCGGATCCTCCCAGAAGAGCAGGAATCTCCCATACCTTGGCCAGGTGATCTTCCTTTTCCGTCTTCACCCCAAATCGTGAGATGCTGGTGTTGTTCAAGCTGGAGCTGTGCATTAATTTCTTCACCCCGCTGATCTGTGTCATGAGCTGCTGCTTTTTCTTCTTCTCCCTGTCCTTCTGGGTGGGAGAAGGGATCTCCACGTCGTTCTGCTTGTCTGGAACAGATCAGGGGGGAATGGGTGAGCTCCCAGCACGTCCCCCAAAATCAGCCCTCCAGCTGCTGCCTCTGCTCCCCACTTCAAACTCAGGGGGCTCTGCTTTTGGCATCCAAAAATAAAAAAAAACACACAAAAAAAACTGATTAAAAAAGCTCTGGTTGCTCTCCTGCAGCCACTGCGTGGTTTGGGGACGCTGGACACGTCCAGGAATGTCTCTCTGTGCATGGATGTGGCACTTGGGGACACGGATTAGTGCTGGGAATGGTTGGAGCCCACCATCTCCAACCTAAATGATTCTGTGATTTTTCCATGCCTGAAAGGCACCAGGTTCTCCTCAGGGATAAATCTCAGTTAATTTTATTCTCGGTTTTCGGGGGAAAAAAGGAAAAATTATATTATATTATATTATATTATATTATATTATATTATATTATATTATATTATATTACATTACATTACATTACATTATATTACATCATATTATATTATGTCATATCATATCATATCATATCATATTATATTATATCAATTATATTGTATTATATTGTATTGTATTATATAATATTATATATAGATTTATTTCTTTACATATAATGATAATATAATATAATCTATATAATAATAATATAATATAATATAATAATATATTACATTAATATATAATATAATATAATAATATATTACATTATAATAATATAATAATATATTACATTAACATATAATTATGTAATATAGTATAATATAATCTTAATACTATATTTATAGATATTTATATTTATGTATTTATTTTAATATTTATTTTTATTCATAAATTTCAGGGAAATAAAATGTTCAAACAACACTTTTCTTTTTTTTTCCCCCCTGAATAAGGTAAAACCACATCAATTTCCCCTATTTTCACT